AGAAACAGCTTGTTGCTTATGATAGTAACTTATTTGTTTACAAACTACTACTCAATCTCTCTCTCAATTTCTTTAATTGGTATGATAAAGAGAACTTGTGTTTGATAAAAAACTTTTCATATAGTATTTGGATAGTTTTACTAATAAAGTTTCTTTCTTGGTCTGATAGGGTGTCTGGTATAGCAAAAAAAATTGATATGCCAATAGACATGCTATTAATGCAAATGGTATGCTATGTGGTATGCCATATATTATACATAATTTTTGTCCTACATCAGTTGGCATGCCCAAAAAAATTGGCATGCCACTAGCATGCTACACATTATATTATTAATACAAAAAAAAGTTAAGTACCCATAAATCCTTAGTACTTCTGATTTTTGTATCCAAACTAGCTTCTTCACAAATATATTTACAACTTTTTAGCAGTCGCTTTTCCTAACTATATTAACTATTAAATAACAGATAGATTAACAATTATATAACTATATTAAACATGAATTTATTTAATTTAACTTGCAGATTTAACATCTATAGTAAAATAATAGAAGTACATCTCAAGAGTTCAACTATGTAAAGAGTTACTAAAATACTTTATTAATTTAAACTTATAATAACTATATACAGATTACAACTTTTAAACTTTAGATTGAAAAAATATTTCGTCAATTGACCGATCTTCAGTACTGGCCGTGGCATTTTGAAGAGAAGTATCTGAACTTTCATTACTAACATTTTGATTTTGTTCGAAAGCATTCATATTAAAAAACTCTTTTATTATTAATTTATTATTCATATCAATAGTCACCACTTCAACATCAAATTCCAAGAGCTCTTCTTCGAACCCTTCTTCCTCAAAAAGAAAATTGTTATCAGAATTTTCAACATCCGTAAGATCTATAGATAAAGTAGACAAAGTTTGTTCTTTAGGTTTTTCTTTTAATGTTTCAGATAGTCTTTGTTGAAGATTGTAATAAAGCATCTCAAGTATTCTCATCAAGGTAGTAGATATTCTGTTTCGTAATTTTGTTTTTACAAGCCCCAAGCTAGAGAAGAAGTGTTCAATAGCTACTAAATGGGGACGATTGAAAAGATCTTCATAACAAATCGTCGAAGAAGTAGAGAGCCTTCAGTAAACTGTGCCCAAAAAGTTCTAGAATTGGTATCTTTAATATTTTTGTAAGTACCAAAAGGAATATCTCCATTTTTATAATTTATAAGTTCTTTATATAAAAGAGTAGTTTCTTTTTTATCAAAGCCCCAAATTTTTGCTAATTCTAAAGAGGCTCTTATAATTATATCGCCAGTTATTTTTTTTGATATTGCAATCTGTTTATAGTATGGCGATAGAAAAAAAGAAACAAAATAGATATTATCTGAAAATTTACGAGCTCATTTGTCAATAGATGCTAATGCATAT